CTCCCTCACGGGCTGGGGCGCGGTCATGGGCGGCCGCGGTCATGGGCGGCCGCTTTGTAAGGGGATCCTGGCAGGTGCATCAGTCCGAGTGGCATATCAACTGTCTCGAGATGTTGGCGGTGTTCCAGGCTCTAAGGAGTTTCCGGCCCGATCTCCAAGGCCACCACGTCCTGGTTCGTTCCGACAACACAGCGGTGGTGGCGGTCTGCGCTCAGATCCTCCTGTGGTCCCAGCAGAGGTAACTATCGCTCAGGGCGATGTATCTCCCGGGGACACAGAATCAGGGAGCAGACCTGCTGTCGAGGCAGGGGCTTAGGCCTGAAGAATGGAGACTTCACCCCGAAGTGGTGGAGCTCTTGTGCGGAGAGTTCGGCCCCATAGATGTGGATCTGTTTGCATCTCAAGAGACTACGCACTGCCCACTATGGTTTTCTCTCGTTCCTCCAGCCCCGTTGGGTCTGGACGCCATGGTACATTCGTGGCCGAGGCTGCGTCTGTACACTTTTCCCCCAGTCGCTCTGCTCCCGGGGGTTCTGGAGCAGGTCCCCCAGGACAATGTCGGCCTACTGCTCGTAGCCCCGTTCTGGCCAACCCGGGTGTGGTTCTCGGACATCATGTCGCTCCTGGACGGCCCGCCATGGCAGGTCCCTCTGAGGAGAGACCTGCTGTCCCAGGCGCAGGGTCGGGTTCTTCACCCTTGCCCCACCGTATGGCAGCTGTGGGTCTGGCCCCTGAGGGGGCACAGTACCTAGAGGCGGATCTAACAGCCGGAGCAGTCGAGACCTTCCTCAGCTCCAGGACCCCGTCCACACGGATCCGTGGTGCCCGGAGGATGAGACCTGCGACTCGGTCCAAGGTTCCCACTTGGGATTGGGCGGTGGTTCTTGGGGCGTTGGCTGAGGCCCGCTTTGAACCCCTGGAGTCAGCTGAGGCTAAGCACTTGACCCTCAATATGGCCTTCTCCTTGCTATCACCTCTCTGAGGAGGGTGAGGTATCTCCAAGCGCTTTCGTTTTCCTGCAAGCCTGGAGTTTGCCCCGGGGAATATTAGGGCTATCCTGCACCCTCGTCCAGGATACATCCCTAAAGTGCCTTCTTGTGCGGCAGAGTCCACAGTGCTGCAGGCATTTCATCCTCCACTTCGTGTGACGGCGGAGGACGGGAGACTTCATCTGCTCTGCCCTGTCAGAGCACTGAGTATTTACACTCTGAGGTCCTCCCGTTGGAGGAAGGCTGACCAGCTGCTAGTGTGTTTTGGGTCCCCCAGGGCTGGGCCCCCTGCACCCAAACATACTATTAGCAACTGGATTGTTCAGACTATGTCCCTGGCTTATCAGGTGCGCAGTTTGCCTTCACCTGTGGCTGTGAGGGCTCATTCTACCAGAGGCATGGCCTCTCGAGCCCTCCTTTCCGGGGGCCTCTTTGCAGGATGTTTGTGTAGCAGCTGGCTGGGCCACTCCGCACACATTCATTCAGTTTTACAGTCTTGACCTTCCTTTGGCACCTGGCACTCGTGCGCTCTCCTCTTAGTCGTGCCACTTTTTTTGCACACTGTGGCAGGCGGGGTTTTCGGCACGTTTTAGTGGGTATCTCGTTCCCATAGTGTCGTAACCGATGCAGTTCGAGTTCCCTCGAAGGGGAATGTCTCGGGTTACGTATGTAACCCTGGTTCCCCGAGAAGGGGAACGAGACACTGCGTCAGCCCGCCGCACCTCTCTCCCCGCCTGAAGCGCCTGCTTCATAGTTTAAGCTAATGATGAGTGTGTACAGGTGTGCTTTATACTCCTCCGGTTATTCCGTCACACCTTACCGTTCTAGCAACAAGCCAATAGGATTGGAGTGATTTCATTCACGTTCAGACCTGCTACGCCTAGAGGCGTTCCCATAGTGTCGTAACCGGCGCAGTGTCTCGTTCCCCTTCTCGGGGAACCAGGGTTACATACGTAACCCGAGACGTTTCATTAAGTGCAAATGTCAACCAAGGGTTTGAATCTACAGCCACCACAACAAAGTTCTCACAGGGTCAAGCATAGCCCCCATTTCCCCTCCTGGGTGACGGGGTTCAAATGATCAATTCTTAGGTCAGTCTGCAAAAGAGGATCAGAAGACGAATACAACACACAAACAGCAAAGTGCCTCAAGATGAAGGTGTGGGAGGCTGGGATTGAATAGGTCAATTTAACTTTGCAACAAGAATTGTGCCAGTGAAAGATTGTATCATGTCACAGATAAAAGGTCTGAGACTGACCATGTTTATATGCACACTAGTATCCTGGATTTTATCAGGGTTTTGGAGAATCCAGGGTAGGGTTAGGTTTGTTTGTTTTTCTAGCTTCCCCAAAATAAACTGGGATGTGGCACACAGGTTCCATATTCAGATGCTCAGTTACCTGCAGACACAGAAAGAAAAAACAACAATGTCAAAAGACATAATGATAATTTAGACAAATAAAAATTTGAGATCTGACACTGGTAATTCAGAGGATAAACTTATAATTGCTTAGCGCTTTTGTTTTCCATTGCTGGCGATCAGATGGCCAAATCCAAATCCAGCAGAGTGGTGAATCCAGCAGGCAGGCAGAAACCAAAGTGGGTTAATCCTCCAGCGCTGAGGTAACTCAGTCAGTGTAGAAATTAATGGTAGTGGCAGGGACGTTGAGGAGTCTAATACAAGCCTGTCCACACAGAGACACTTAAACACTTGAATAATGTTGAAACTGTGCATACAGGGAGATGAATGGCCAGGCTTTCTGTGTGTTCCAAGTAAACATCATATCCTGAATGTGATTAAAACCTGGCTAGGAGTTAAATCTGGGACTTTGGTTTGCATGCAAATGTACTCACTGTGGAAAACATGCAGACAAAAATGGTAAAGATGGGTTGCACTTATTAATCATGTTGACTGCACAATCAAAAAAAGAGTTTCCCAAACAAAATTTCAAGATTAAAAACCATCCTTTTTAAGCCCTGCACAGAGCTAATGGAAGCAGGATTTACCCACTACCCCCACTGTGCCCCCTTTTTACTTTGCATAATGGAAAGTTGACTTAACAGCGCTTCCTCAGAGGACATCTAAGAGCTTGGAAAAACAGTAATTACTCTACGGTGCATCTTATTAGACATATGGTTATATCTTTGCAGCTATGAGGTAACATTAATTCTCTCCAACCAGCAGGCACCCGCAAATCTTTCTTTCAATTAGCGACTAACTAATGCTGCTGAGATTATAACTCAAAAAATAACATGCTGGAACAGAGCTATGACAGACTTCACTTCCCTGCCTGCTTGCCAGTTGGAGTCATTTGTGGCACTAACTCACTGGATATGATCAGGAACTAAACTGACACCCCTTTATCATCGAATAGCGCGCACACCTTTGTATCCGTGTCTATGTATGTCTTTATGAGAGGGTGGATTGTTAGCCCCCCAGGCAGTGGTCTTTGAAATATTGAGTACACCCTACTGTGGAACAAATGGGACTGCTAGTAATGCCACACTTGTCTCCGCTGTTCAGATTACTGAAAACGCTGGCTCTGCCATCTGCTAGGAAGTAGCCTTGGCTCCTTTCAAATTTGGAGAGGCTCCAAAAAACTGTCCCTGTCAGCTTTACTGTGCTCTCTGGGTTCTCTCTCTCTTGTTGACTATATTTAGAAGTTAACCAAGGCATCAGCATTAGGATTATAATCCTGCATAATATGTCTCTCCTCAGACACACGTCTACCCTCCTCTCCTTATGATTTGCTGCTGTGCGATGACAAATCTGCAAATGAATGATGGAATCTGACCGAGATGAAGTGATGTTCCAAGAATAAGAAGTTACCACTTTTTCAGGCACACCTTGGTCTGGTCTTATAGGAAATATAGTGTTTCATTAAAGGTGCAATAATGAGTCTTTTTATATGGATCTACGGACTATTTGGAAATTAAACCTGTCGTTCGTAGTTTTGAAAACCACTTTAACTTTATTGCTTTGGTTCGGTCTCAGCGCTTTCATCAGAGTCGTTTTCAGCCACAGCAAGCAACTTTTATCTAGTGAAAAAAGTCTGATAAACCAATGTATGTTACCTGCCTCACACACTTAATGTTGGCGACCAGCTGGTGAACTGAAGCATTAAGTAGCTAAAGTACTAGATATTTCCCAAATGAGTTGGTGGAGCGCTAGAGAGAGTAAATACAAGGCTTAGATTTGTAAGGTCACGACTCCAAATGAATACTAATGCTGCTCAGAATCTGCTGGATGTGTAAATAAGACACTGTTAACGCTAACATGTTAACCATATCTATTCTACACTATGAGGTGCTAACATGTTTGTGTTGTGTTTACAGCATGTTATCACCACCACCTAAATGGTCAAAAAATCAATTGTTTAACTAGAAAGAGACATTTACATTTGACACTTTTGCCCAAACAGACTTATTTGTCAGAAGAAAGTGAAAAAGCAAAAGATCGTTGTTGGTAGAGTAAGGATGTCAATAGAACAAGTTTCAAGCAATTAGCAATTGCTAGTAGACAGCAAAGATAGCTAGATTAGGATGCTATACAGTGCTAAGTACTATTTTTTTCAGTGGGGGGTGAAGGAGGGAGGCTATGTCTTGCAGAACCGAGTGAGCCACTCCTGACTGCTGTTGTCCTGACATTGGCAGGCAACTCTTTCCACCACTGTGGCGCCAGAACAGGCCTCCCTCCAAAGCCACTCCCCCAAAACATTAGTGCACACATTTTTCTGCTACAGCCAAGGATTTTTTTCATATTTTGTCTCAGAGCATTTCATTTATTGTTGCGATGTGAAGAGAATTTCAAAAAATATAACAAAAATTAAATAAATTGCCCCCCCTAGCTTTAACTGTTTAATACTGCAGTGAGTAGACTTCCCATCACCATTTTGTGCAGGATCCCTAAATCCACATTATAATCCCTTTTGTAAGTGTTTAATTACCTCAGGGTTTCTGCAATGTATGATTGTTTTATACTGTATATTGACTAGGAAGCAGAACACGACATCCAGTTAGATCATTCATTTTAATAGGAGACATAAACAAATAATTGCTGTAAACTGAAATACTGTATATGTTCCTATCATACAAAACATAGAAAATACCTGAATACATTGAAAAGCAATGGTTTTCATTTCATTGATCACAGCCATTAAATAAATATGTAAAAACAAGTTTTTATTTCAACCTTGCTTCTCCACAGTTTGTTCAGCTAGAAGGAACTCTCCATCTTAGTGTCATCTTGGACTTTCCTGTTCAGGTCAGGTCTGATGGACAGAACCAGCTCCATTTCATGGCCAGGGGAGGGGACAGGGATTTTGTTGATCTTGGTAAAGCTCTGACTGATGTCCATAAATGTTTTGTTTTTGGTTTCAGGGAGGACAACATAAAGGTAGACAGATCCCAAGATGCAGACCACCACAAACACCAGAAAGGCAAAGGACTGCAGCTTCTCCTACACAAACAGAAAACACACAGGAAGGAATTAAACAGATCTGATTCATTTGTCTCAAGATACAGCATGCATTTTCTAAAATAACTCTGAAGGAGGAATGAAGATGTGTTAATCAAGCACCAAGGATTAACATAACATCAAGAGGAAAATGAACTGAGCACACAATTTCATTCCATTCATTTAGATTTCCCTATTTCAGCATTCAAAACATTTAATGATTACTGTTCTCCCCCACCACATAGCCAAATCCTGCAATTTTTCAGCCAACCTGAACTCCTGCCAACTCCAGAGAGACGTTGTCTGTGGCATCTGTTTCGTCATTTGAGTCCGTCATGCTTGGGAACATTCCCACGATTCTCAACTCAAAAAGTCCCACAAACTTGTTTATGAAAGTATGCACAAGTAAAGTATTTAAAAAATCAATATACTGTATGTATGTGTTTGTGTTGAAAAATCAAAGTACCCAAAGTCTGGAAGCTAACCTTGTCCAGTGTGTTATGCCAATAATAGAGATTAGTGACAGATTTAAAAATACACACTGACTGATTACCCAGAGGGAGATTGAGGGTTTGTTTGTGTGTGTGTGTGTCTTAGTGTGAGTGAGAGAGAGAGAGAGAGAGAGGACGATAGAGAGACTTTGCATGAAGCAAAGCAAATTGTCTGACCCTGAGCAGAGTGTCACTGAGCTATAATACCTTGCTCATGAGGGGAAAGGACTCAAATGCAGAGCTATGTAACTGGTATTAGAAATGCAGTGTCCAAACAACCATGACCTCATTGAATAACTACTTACTGTTTTGATTTCAGTTACATCACCACTGCTGTTAGTCCCTGAAACTGTTTTCCTCTTTTGAGTGTATTTCATAATAGCAACAACAGCAACAAAAAAAACTGAGCCTCATGCGAAGGGCTTGACCCAGTTTCTATGCCGCCTCTGTGACGTCCACAAGTTCCTCAGAGAACACTGCCTTTCTCTCCCAGTCGTCATTGGAGATGAGTCATGATAAAAAAAAACAGGAGGTTTCTGCGTCCACTTCGCCTGTCATTAATCGAATTGTTCCAAGCCCTGTGGACTGAGGAGAATGAGACAGTCCCATCTTTGACACAGTGATAAGCCTTTGATCTGCTGTAGTAGCTCAGCTGGGTTAAATTTGGTACAAACACAAACTATTTGGCTTGCAAATAAAGACACATCAGTGGCTGAGGACAAACACAAACATGAACCAAATTGTCATGTTTCATGTTCAAACACATGACGTAAAGAGAGGAAATGGCATTGCAGTGATAGGGAACCTTGAGGGGGACGAGACAGGACAGAGCAGTGGAAGGATGGAATAGGACAACACGGGAGAGCACAGGATAGTACAGTACCAGGCAGGACCGAACAGTTTAGGACATTTTAGGACAGGATGGGACTGGACATAACAGTGCAAGTCAGGTTGGGACAAGACAGGACAGGATAGAACAGTGCTTCACTTTCCTGGACAGCCTAGAACAGGATGGGAGGACATATGACAGAACAGAACAGTGGTATGAGACAGTCTAAGACAGAACCATGCAAGACAAGATGGGATAAGCCAGGCCTCTGCAAGATGAGACAAGAATGAAATGGACAGGATGGGTTGGGATAAGCCAGGGCAGGAAAGAAAGAGATGAAATAGGATGGATCCCTGCAGAGCTGGAGAGGAAAGGACGGGACAAGACAACACAGGATGGAACAGGTAAGGACAGAACAGTGTGGGATGGGACATGAAAGAACAGAACAATGCAAGACAAGACTGGATGGGACAAGCTGGTAAGGATGGGAAAGAACAGGCAGGAAAGGACATCTAGGACAGGTGGGGATGGGATAGGACAGGAAAGTGCAGGCTAGTAAAGGAAATAAAGGGATGACATAGGACAGAACAGCGCTGAACGGAACAGAGCAGAGCAGGACAAGATAGGACAGAGCAGAGCAGTGCAGTCTAAAACAGGACATTACAGGCTAGGACAGGAAAGGAAAGAACAGTCTAGAATGGGACAGGAAAGTCTCACACAGAACAGTGCAAGGCAGGATGGGATAGGCCACACCTGGCCAACAAAATGGACCAACTGCTGCTCCTCAACAGAACTAACTCGGACTTCTGCAGATCTGCTGCCCTCTGTTTCACTGAATCCTGGCTCACCGAGTGCATCTCCGACAGCGCACTTCACCTACCGGGATATAATCTCATCCGCGCGGATCGCGAAAGGGAGCTCATGGGAAAAACACGGGGAGGTGGACTCTATGGACTCTTCTATGTAAACGAAGGTTGGTGCACAGATGTCACAGTGTTGAAGAAATCATGCAGGCCTTACCTAGAGACATTATTTATAAACTGTAAACCATTTTATTCACCACGGGAGTTTTCCTCGTTTGTTCTGGTCGCTGTTTACATTCCACCTCAGGCCTGTGTTAGTGAGGCGTTGCTACACCTGGCCGACCAGATAACTAACATGGAGAAAAAACACCCAGACTCCCTGCTCATTGTTCTTGGGGACTTCAACAGAGCAAACCTCAGCCATGAACTTCCACAGTACAGACAGCATATTAAGTGTCCCACTAGGGACACTAACACACTGGACCACTGCTACACAACATTAAAGGACGCCTATCACTCTGTTCCCCGTGCAGCCTTAGGACTCTCTGATCACTGTCTGGTTCATCTTCTCCCGACACACAGGCAAAAACTGAAATCTGCTAAACCTGTTGTAAAGACTGTGAAAAGATGGGCCGAGTCAAAGCTGGAGTTGCAGGCCTGCTTTGACTTCACTGACTGGAGTGTTTTTGAGGCTGCAGCCACTGACCTGGATGAACTAACTGACACTGTGACATCTTAGATCAGTTTTTGTGAGGACATGTGTGTGCCGACTAAAACCTTCCACACATCCAATAACCAAAAACCCTGGTTCACAGCGAAACTCAGGCAGCTTCGTCAGACCAAAGAGGAGGTCTTCAGAAGTGGGGACAGAGTCTTGTACAACCAGGCCAGGAACACGCTGACTAAAGAAATCAAAGCTGCACAGAGGTGCTATGCTGAAAAGCTAAATAACAGCTTTGCAGCCAACGACCCTGCGTCGTTGTGGAGAAGCTCACAAACTACAAGAGACCATCCCCCAACACTGCTGGTACTCAACAACTGGCAGACGAGCTGAATGGTTTCTACTGTAGGTTTGAAAAGCCCAGAGTCACACCTCTCCCCCACTCCAACACCATCTTCAAATAGTCACCATCCCCCTCTGACCTCTCACCTGCACTCAAGATCTGTGAAGAGGACGTGAGCCACCTCTTCCAAAGGCAGAAGATCAGGAAGGCTCCTGGACCTGACGGTGTCTCACCATCGTGCCTGAAAATCTGTGCAGACCAGCTGGCCCCCATCTTCACTCAGATCTTCAACAGATCACTGGAGCTGTGTGAAGTTCCCTCCTGGTTCACATGCTCCACAGTCATCCCGGTCCCAAAAAACCCTCCATCTCTGGTCTGAATGACTACAGGCCCGTCGCCCTGACATCTGTAGTCATGAAGTCCTTTAAAAGACTGGTGTTGGTCCACCTGAAGGACATTTCAGGCCCCCTGCTGGACCACCTGCAATTTGCCTACAGGGCTAACGGGTCTGTGGATGATGCTGTCAACTTGGGTCTGCATTACATCCTGCAACACCTCGACTCTCCAGGGACATATGCAAGGATCCTGTTCGTGGACCTCAGCTCGGCGTTCAACACTATCATCCCGGACATCCTCAGCACCAAACTCACCCAGCTCACTGTGCCAGCCTCCACCTGTCAGTGGATCACAGACTTCCTGACTGACAGGAGTCAGCAGGTGAGGCTGGGAAACATCACATCCAGCACCCTGACTATCAGCACTGGCGCCCCCTAGGGGTGTGTGCTCTCCCCACTGCTCTTCTCCCTCTACACCAACGACTGCACCTCAGGAGACCCATCTGTCAAACTCCTGAAGTTCACTGACGACACAATGGTCATCGGCCTCATCTGGGACGGTGATGAGTCGGCCTACAGACGGGAGGTTGATCAGCTGGCTCTCTGGTGCGGTCAGAACAACCTGGAGCTTAACACGCTCAAAACTGTGGAGATGACTGTGGACTTAAGGAGGAGCCCCCCACTCTGCCCCCCATCACCATACCCAACAGCCCTGTGTCTGCTGTGGAATCCTTCAGGTTTCTGGGTTCCACTATATCCCAGGACCTGAAGTGGGAGCCCAACATGGACACCATCATCAAGAAGGCCCAGCAGAGGATGTACTTCCTGCGTCAGCTCAGGAAGCTCAACCTGCCTAAGGACCTGCTGATCCAGTTCTACACAGCCATCATCCAGTCTGTTCTCTGCACCTCCATCACTGTCTGGTTTGGATCTGCCACCAAAAAGGACAAGAGCAGACTACAACGTACAGTCAGGACTGCAGAAAAAATAATCCCTCCATTCAGGACTTACATTTCCAGAGTCAGGAAACGGGCAGGAAACATTACTGCAGATCCATCTCATCCCGGACACAACCTGTTCCAGCTCCTCCCCTCTGGTAGGCGCTACAGAGCTCTGTACGCCAAAACCAACAGACACAGAAGAAGTTTCTTCCCACAAGCCATCACTCTGATGAACAGCTGATTTCTGACTCACAGTGTCAGGAACAATTCCTGTGCAATAACCCAGTAACTCTGTCTCTAATCAGCCACCTGTTACTGGTTTCCACTTATTATTTATTTATTCACCATTCTCTATTTCAGTGCTGTTCATACTATGTCATATTGTATATACTGTATACCAATACACCTACCTCAGGCCATAAGGTCATAGGTCTTATTTATTTTTGCACTATGCTCCATCACACTGTGTACATGTATGCATGTATGTGTATGTGTACCTGTATATCATATCCACCTTCTACATGTACATAATGAGAATAATAGTTTACTCTTGCATCCTTTGCACTCTGATCACTGCACTATTTGTCAATATGTCTATAT